AAGGAAAAAGTCTACCTGACAGAGGGGGCAGAAGTCAGAGTGATGCATTTACAAGTCAATGGATGCAAAAATTGTCAGGAAACTATCCGAAAGCAGGAGAGGCATAAACAGACTTCCCTTCACAGCCATTAGAACCAGCCCTGCCACACTTAGACTTCTGGCCTCCAGAACTGTCAGAAAGCAACTTTTTTTTTTCAATTGACACAAAATAAATGTGCATGTTTATGGGTGACAGTATGATATACCTTCCCCCCTCCCCAAGATTTTTGCTATAGAGTGTATGTACTCACCAGAGAAATAGAGACAGAAAGCAACAAATCAACCCCCAGGGGGGTGGCCACACTGCATTCCCTCCTCCTCCAGTCTCCTCCCAGGATTTTGGGCACAGATGCACATGCACGCAGTGTGAGTCTTAAGCCGCCAGGCCTGAGACTCGAACCATGGTTGGTCATGTGGGAGTCCAGAAACGTAACCATTACACCTTCTGTTGGTTCCCGGTGTGATATATTGATACACATATATAATGTGTAATGATTCACACAAAGTAATTAGCATGTTCATCACCTCAAATACTTACTACTATTTTTTTTTAATTATTTTTAATTTTTAAAAAAATTTGGCATAGGGCATGTGTTCCCACTAGATACACACACACACACACACACACACACAATCACACAGAGTGAGAGAGAGAAAGTAAAAAAGCAAGCCAGGTCTGAGACTCAAACCTCAGTCCGCCATGTGGCAGTCCAGCACCCTTAACCACCATGCCACCTACTGGCCCCCACTTATTGTGTCTTTGGCTCCATCAGTTTAAAACAAAATGTGTGGTACCCTGCTATGGCAGTGCTAGGAAACTAACCAATTATCTGGCACTTAAGAGAGGCAGAGGCAGATCACCCTTCTAGGTTCCCAGGATAAAACCCCAGTTAAACAGGGCTACCTGTATCCCTGGATGGCTGGTAAATGCCTCCCTACTGCGCTCCCGCTTTTTAGTCTTTTTGTTGTTATTATAGGACACATGCGACTGCCAGACAGACAGACAGACAGAAAGCAAGAAATCACGCCCCAAGAGGGATGGCCATGCCTTAATCCCTTCTCCTCCATTCTCCTCTTGGGATCTTAGGCACGCATGTGTATGGGCCAAGTGTGAGTTTAAGCCACCGGGTCCAGGACTGGAGCCTCAGTCAACTACACAGGAGTCCAGCAACATAGCCATTATGCCAACTGCTGATCCCTCTAGTCTCACCTTCTCAAATATTTTCCATAGTACTGCCCTGATCGCTTTCAAACCAAAGTCTGACCAAAGCATTCCCAGGCACTAAGAAAGCACCAGCACTGGGACCAGCAGATGGCGCAATGGTTAGGTCAGTGGACTCCCACATGGCCAATGGCAGTTGGAGTTTGTGGGCCTTGTGCCCCAAATCCCAGGAGAATGGAGAAGGTACTGAGGATTTCTCCCTTTCTGGCAAGCATATGCCCTAAGGGGAAAAAAAATCTAAAAAAAAAAAAAAGAAAGAAAGAAAGCAAGCGCCAGCACTTGGGGAACTTTCATCCCATAGGTAAGAATGAGTGAACAAAGCACACTATGTTCTAACCAGCTGGTCCCAGAATTCTTTCCTTTTTTATTCCCTTCAAGGAGTGGGGGAGGAGCAGATGACCTTCCAGCGATTTCCCAGTACTATGTAAAACAGCTGGAGCAGGGTGGAGCTCTACCTTTCCTTAATGGTTGCAAGAGGAATTTAGACATATGAAAGCTTTCCTTATGTAGCAAGACACTGCAGTATAAAGAGGAGAAGTCAACAATCTATCCAGCAATTTTTGAGTCTGGGGTTAACCAGTATTTTGGAATCTATTTTTGATAGGAAGTGGCCCCTTCGGATCTCTTCCAATCCTATTTTGTAACTGCATGACCAAACTACAGGTAAAAGGGGTGAAGAATACGGAAATTATTGCAACTAACAATACAATGTGCCTGTGCGCTCATCTCCAAAAAGTAAATATTTTTGAGGTTTAAAAATTATTTGCATGCACGATTATAAACACTAGAAAGCCTGAGAAGGAAAGAGAGGAAGGCAGAAAGTAACTACTTTTTTTTTTTTTTTAGAAAAAGAAAAGAAAGAAAAAAGAAGTCCCTAACTAGAGGAAGAGAGTAGTAGTCGAAAATAATCAGGATTAGGTCTCTTTGCAAATTCCTGAACTGGGAAATGTATCAGAATTTCCAGTCCTCAAGAAATAGGGCCTAAAAAAAAGTCTTGTGAGCAAGAAAGGTGGGGGTTGGGGGGAGGGCTAGTCCTTCCCAGCAGGAAGTCTTCAATGGCTATCGAGTTATGAAGCAACAACTCTTCACAGAAGTCCTTATTCGGAGCGCTAAACTCAATTTTACCACATAAAGGGCAATATAAAAGCTCTGAGCAGCCTCATCACCGTGTTGGGGAAACAAGTCGGCTTCCCCATGTGAGAAAGCGAGAGAGCTCCGACTGGGTAGGAACCCAGAACGGTGTCAGGGGTTTTATTTGCAAGTCAATGAGCCAAATGGGCGACCAGGCTCGCTGTGCTGCGTTCTGGAAGCAAGGTTATTATTATCGCCTATTGCCCCACTGAACAATTTCACTGAAAAGGAAGAGTCCCAGCCGTGGGTGTGCGCACCGTGCCATACGGGACGTGCCGCTACGTGCCCACCTCCAGAACGACTTTATTTACCAAGCGATTACCATGTTATCTATTTGTTTTCCTTTTCCAGCAACAGCAGCCTTACTCAGCCCTCGAATTTCTTAATTACAAATCCGTTTGCTTCTAAATCAACCCCAAACCGTCAGGCAGAGCCCAAAGGGAGGCTGTGCAAGTTTGCACACACCCCCCACCACCCAGATCAAGGGCAACAGCAGAAGCAAGTAACTGTGTATGTGCAAAAAGGTGGATCTGGGGACGAGGATCGCTGAGTTTGTTTACAGAGCAGAGACGCCTCAGCTTGGATGCCAAAGCTACCAAGAGCTGCAAACGCAAACTTAGCAGAAGCACACGTACCCCAGGAGCTGCCGGCGGGCTCGAAAGCGTGGACCAGATTTCCAGGTACTGGAGCGGAGACGTCCGGGCCCGCGAGCGCGCTCCGTCCACCTGCAGCCACTACTGCTCCCAGTCCCCCAGTTCCTGTCCTTGGAAGGAGTAGGTTAGAAATGCATTTGAGCGCAGAATATATCTAGGTTTAGGTTTATTCACAGTCCCTATACAAACACAAAGGCATGGCCCAAGAAAGCGCGCTCAGGGGCGGGAGCATTATTTGTCCGGGGTTTTAAAACCCAACGCGACGAAGCACAGCCATTCTTCGCAGCGTGGGAAGGCTTTTGCAAAGCCTGGGAAGCAGAAGGGCACTCTGCAGGGCAGGTGCGCCGAGCGAACCCCCTTTTCCCGTAGACAGGCCGGAGCTCTAGGTGAGCGGTGTGCGCGAGCTGGGGGTGGGGCGATCCGGAGAGAGGCGGGCAGTGCATTTTCCTTGCTTCTCTCGGAGCACAAGCTACCTTAGAGCTCGCTGGCTGGGGAGTATCCCCCTCCCCCCATTCCCCGGGGACAGCCGAGCTGGCCACAAGTTTCTGGGACGGGCAGAAACCGGAGAAGGGGGGCGGCGGGGCGGCGCCGGGGCCCCGCAATTTCTGTGCACGTGCCGCCGGACGCGGGGACGCGGCTCGCCGACCCGGTCCAGAGTGCTCGGAATTCCGGAATCCGTGTCTTCCCGCCGCCCGCCCGGGAGGCTCTCGCTCCGCCCTTCCTGAAATCCCTTATATTAACTGTGGCCAAAGCCCTAAGAAACACAGCTCATTGTTGGCAGCTGCCGGGCGGTCCTGCCGAGCTGTGAGGGCAGCAGAGGGGAAATAAAAGGGAACGGCTCCGAATCTGCCCCAGCGGCCGCTGCGAGACCTCGGCGCCGACATCGCGACAGCTAGCGCCCTGCACGCCAGGAAGGCCCCCTCTATGTGCTGCTGAGCCGGTCCTGGACCCGACGATCCCGCCCTCGATCTTCGGAGCTGCAAACGCAAAGACGGAAGGTAAGCACGGCGGGGGAAGCGGCTGGGGATCCTGCCAGCCCAGTCCTCCGAGGGCAGGGTTTGCCCGGAGGAAGCGCGTGAGGCGGAGCTGGGGAATAACAACAGGATGTGCAACAACAGGATGAGGAGGGTTGGTTTAAAGCCTGAAGTTCGCGGTAGGGCTACGGGGCACTTCCTTTATTAGGCCACTTCGGGGAGCAGAGGGGGGTGTGGGCTTGTGTTCCCGCGCCCGACTGTAGGGGAAGGGACTGTTCGTGCGGCGCCTGGCTCGGTTGCGGGTGTCAGGTCCGCCGTGGCGGCGACCTCGGGTGCGTAGGCTACTATTGGGATCCTGGAGGTGGTGGTTCGCAGCCGACGTGCGCCCAGAAGAGCCTAGAGAACAGGGGTGAGAAAAAGTGGGGTGCGCTGTGGTGATCGACATGTGCGGCGCGGGGCTGATCGTCTGTCCTTTCCACTTTCAGGACTGGAAATGGCAGACCATATGATGGCCATGAACCACGGGCGCTTCCCCGACGGCACCAATGGGCTGCATCACCACCCTGCCCACCGCATGGGCATGGGGCAGTTCCCGAGCCCTCATCACCACCAGCAGCAGCAGCCCCAACATGCCTTCAACGCCCTGATGGGCGAGCACATACACTACGGCGCGGGCAACATGAATGCCACGAGCGGCATCAGGCACGCGATGGGGCCGGGGACTGTGAACGGAGGGCACCCTCCGAGCGCGCTAGCCCCCGCGGCCAGGTTTAACAACTCCCAGTTCATGGGCCCCTCGGTGGCCAGCCCGTGAGGCTCCCTGCCGGCCAGCATGCAGCTGCAGAAGCTCAACAATCAGTATTTCAACCATCACCCCTACTCCCACAACCACTACATGCCGGATTTGCACCCTGCTGCAGGCCACCAGATGAACGGGACAAACCAGCACTTCCGAGATTGCAACCCCAAGCATAGCGGCGG